CGTATCTCTTCCCTCAACGGCAACATCGACCTTTGCTTCACATGCAAAAACGTTGCAAAAGGTCTTTTGTAGCCTTTTTTAGCCGCTGCAAAATGTGTTTTTTGGTGTAGTGAATCAAAGTCAAAACACGTTTTAATGAGTCCAAGTTATAGGAAAAATAGTTTGGGACTGAAAGAGTCCAAAGGAAGACATAGAAATACAAGAAGAAGATCAAGATTCGGACTTCAAGAAGCAGAATTCAAAACGGACTCTCTAATGCTAGCCTACCGTCCAACTAGCGATCGATAGGTAAAAGCAGTGACTTTGCCGCCCGCCAACGCTAGACTGGCACTCAAGCGACATGTCACGTTCCAAAAATCTCTATTTGCTTGAAACACTTATTTTTCAATTCCTTTTCATTTCAAGCACTATCCATCATATAGATATATGTCCAACCCCATGAACATCCCAAAATGTGTTGAATTGTTCTTTCATTATTGAAAACACCTTATTGAAGGTCAACAACACCATCAAAGTTCTCTTTACTCAACCCCTTCTTTGTTGATTCATAAATTCATCCAATATATAGTTTGTTGATCGAGCCATAACATTCTATGTTCATCCCAAGATCAAACACAAAAAGGTCAACGGTCAAACAATAAACCACCAACTTCCAAAGTATCTATCAGAGTTGTTGAAGATCAGAGAAGGAAACCATGGTTTCGATAAGACAAGAAAGATGAGTTCTTGATGATCCATAGGAGATAGATGATTCCAGAAGGTCGGGAGCTGGTGCAAGAACACACAGTACAGGAAGGCCTTGGTGATTACAGGAAGTAGGGTCTTAGAGTACTAAGGTTAGTTGAGTTTGGTTCGTACTACAAGTCAATTTGTCTATTGTGGTTTTTATTGGCTTGGACTCAAGTTTTTTAATCNTGCCGTATCTCTTCCCTCAACGGCAACATCGACCTTTGCAACACATGCAAAAACGTTGCAAAAGGTCTTTTGCAACGTTTTTTGGCCGCTGCAAAATGTGTTTTTTGGTGTAGTGAATCAAAGTCAAAATACGTTTTAATGAGTCCAAGTTATAGGAAAAATAGTTTGGGATTGAAAGAGTCCAAAGGAAGACATAGAAATAGAAGAAGAAGATCAAGATTCGGACTTCAAGAAGCAGAATTCAAAACGGACTCTCTAATGCTAGCCTACCGTCCAACCAGCGATCGAAAGGTAAAAGCAGTGACTTTGCCGCCCGCCAACGCTAGACTGGCGCTCAAGCGACATGTCACGTTCCAAAAATCTCTATTTGCTTGAAACACTTATTTTTCAATTCCTTTTCATTTCAAGCACTATCCATTATATATATATATATATATATATATATCCAATCCCATGAACATCCCAAAATGTGTTGAATTGTTCTTTAATTATTGAAAACACCTTATTGAAGGTCAACAACACCATCAAAGTTCTCTTTACTCAACCCCTTCTTTGTTGATTCATAAATTCATCCAACATATAGTTTGTTGATCGAGCCATAACATTCTATGTTCATCCCAAGATCAAACACAGAAAGGTCAACGGTCAAACAGTAAACCACCAACTTCCAAAGTATCTATCAGAGTTGTTGAAGATGAGAGAAGGAAACCAGAGTTTCGATAAGATAAGAAAGATGAGTTCTTGGTAATCCATAGGAGATAGATGATTCCAGAAGGTCGGGAGCTGGTGCAAGAACACACAGTACAGGACGGCCATGGAGATTACAGGAAGTAGGGTCTTAGAGTACTAAGGTTAGTTGAGTTTGGTTCGTACTACAAGTCAATTTGTCTATTGTAGTTTTTACTGGCTTGGACTCAAGTATTTTAATCCTTTGCGAAGGGGTTTTTCTTCTTGATCATCTTTGGTGTTCTTATTTATTTACTGCTTTTGATTTATTGTGATATTCAAACATAGGGTCAAATTGGGTTAATTGAATTAATCATCTAGAAACAATTTAAAATGATTTATTACTTTTAATTGATTAATTCCGCATGTGGGTATAAATAAAATATTAATTTGAAACTATCAGGAAGAACTAGAATTATGAAGTTTAGAGGATCAATGCGAGAAATATGCAAACCTTGACCATTGCCAACATGGACTTGATCTAGACCGTTATATATAGTTTTCACTTCTGAGATGCAGATTGGCCACGTCATTGGTTAAGTGATGAGTGGCATCGGTGTTGGCATGCTACTCATTGTCCTAGGCGTCATTAGCAGCAACCATAGCTTGTTTATTAGAGCTAGAGGAAAATGGCTGACAAGAAAGATCAAACTTTTGATAGCATTTACGAGTTGTGCGTCTTGCTTTACCACACACTTGACAGATGATAGAAGAATATTGTCCGTGGAAGCATCGACAACCTGTGGAAGAGAAACCACCTTGACCATGACCTATGTAGGTTCCACGTCCCCTGTCGAAAAATTGTTGTGGTTGACGTTGTGTAATATTGGCAAGGGCACGGGAACTGGAGTAGTAATGTCATGACGGGCAATCCAAGATTCTGAGGTGAGGAGTAAATAGAATACTTCATCAAGAGTGACAGTATCATTGTGAGCATTTCTAGAAGCA